CACATCCAGGCCGAGCAGAAGAGGCGAGACGCCATCAAGGTAACGCCCCCGGTTCCCGGGGCCCGGCAGCACCCAGCGCCCTGCTGCTCCCAGCACCTTCCCCTTTGCTTTTGCTGCTGGGTCTCCCCTCCCCAGACCAGCCTGCTGGGAGCTCTGGGCTGGCTCCTGGAGGGCTCTGGGATCTGACACCTTCTGAAACAGCCCGTCTCTTGCCGCGGAGCTCTGACTGCGCGCGCCGTGTCTCTGCTGCCCCACAGAAAGGCTACGACGACCTGCAGGCCATCGTTCCCACCTGTGAGCAGCAGGACTTCTCCATTGGCTCCCAGAAACTGAGCAAGGCCATCGTGCTGCAGAAGAGTGAGTCTTGAGGGTGGGGAGAGGGAAACGGGTGCTGTAAACCCCCAAAATGCCTCACTAGAGCCATGCAGGGTGGAGGTGCAGCACTTTGGGACCTTCTGGTGTGATGATGCTCTGGGGGAGTCCAGGGGCTGGACACCTGCACCCACCCACCTCCCTGAGGAGAATCAGGGCAGCCAGGAGCTGATGCAGCCCAGGCTCAGGCACCTTCTGCGGGGATCTCAGGGGCTTGTGTGTGCTCTCGAGTCCTCACTCTGCCTTTCCATGCTCAGCCATCGACTACATCCAGTTCCTGCACAAGGAAAAGAAGAAGCAAGAGGAGGAAGTTTCTACGCTCAGGAAAGACGTGATGGCCTTGAAGATCATGAAAGTGTAAGGGAAGAGCTGCTGGTTGCTGCCCTCTCCTTCCTGTCCTGTCAGGGCTCTGTGGGTGCACCCGGAGGGCCTGTCCCTGCCAGCTGTCATCACCTCTGTGGCTCGTTAGTGCGGGTTGGTCTGGGTTAGCTGGTGGAGTTCAGTGTGAAGGTGGATCTGAGGCAGAACATGGATCTGCTCCCAGTGGCAGGAGAGGCTGCAGCTCCCCAGAGTCTATTCACTTGCAGGATTTTCCACAAACTCTTGGTCCTCCCCATCTCTGCAGCCCCTGAGCTCTGTCCCCACAGCTGGGGCAGGAGCCCCCACTCTGCTGCTGCACATGGGGCACTTGGTTTGTTTCAGGAACTATGAGCAGATTGTGAAAGCTCATCAGGACAACCCGAACGAGGGGAAGGACCAGGTCTCTGACGAGCTGAAGTTCAATGTTTTCCAAGGCATCATGGATTCCCTGTTCCAGTCCTTTAACGCCTCCATCTCAGTAACGAGTTTCGGGCAGGAGCCCCCACTCTGCTGCTGCACATGGGGCACTTGGTTTGTTTCAGGAACTATGAGCAGATTGTGAAAGCTCATCAGGACAACCCGAACGAGGGGAAGGACCAGGTCTCTGACGAGCTGAAGTTCAATGTTTTCCAAGGCATCATGGATTCCCTGTTCCAGTCCTTTAACGCCTCCATCTCAGTAACGAGTTTCCAGGAGCTCTCAGCTTGTCTCTCCCACTCCAGCTGCTGGACTGGTTTGGGGTGAAAGCCGGCCAGGGAGAGTCCTGCTTGGTCTCTGTCACTCCCTGAGGACACCTAAAGGTTTTCTGGGAGTTAAGAAACCTCTGAGGGGGGCAGATGCTCAGGCAGGGCCAGGTCCCTGCTCTGCTGTGGCTGCCTGAGACCCTGTGGCCTGGGCAGAGGTGGGGGCGGTTCCCCGCCAGGGGTGGGGCGGGG